TTCCGAGCGTGGTGATGAGCAGCGACGTCGATGACATGTCGCGCCGCGAGTTTCATGGCGACCTTCGTCATCCTGATGTTGCAGTTGTGGTCGATCGGGGCGGGGGCGCCGAAGGAGGCGAGGATCTCGCCCAGGGTGGTGGGCCACAGGGGGTGGCGAGTGACCCAGGGGAGGGCGGGGCGGCGCGGGATCTCGGTAGAGGGACGCATAGAGAACTTCAGGGGAACGTGATCGGAAATGGCGGAGTTGGGGGCGGAGATGGGGCGGGCGACGGCGGCGGCGAAGACAGCGCTCTGGCAGGGGGCGGGGCGGAGGGAGGCGCGCGCCCGGTCGAGCCTGCTGAACGACGAGACGGCGTCCGAGCGGCACGTACGACGGGTGAAGTCGTGGCCGTGGAGTTCCACGTAGTTCGCGAAGATGTGGTCAAAATGCTCCTGCTCGGCCCCGGGGTTCCCGCACAGGCGGCCGTGGGAGCAATCGATCCTGTAGCTGATGTCGCTTCGTAGTTGAAGTCGCCGCAGACGATCGCGTGGGCGTTCGCATCGCTAGTGGGGGCGTCGCGGACGGTGTCAAGGAACTGGATGCGGTCCTGGACGTTCAACGCGGGGTCGACATGCAAGTTGCATAAGTCGAGGGCCCCCGCAGGGCCTCGGAGGGATAGCAGGGCAGCACGGGCCGGGACAATACCCCGAGGGTCGAACATGCATGTGTCGAACATTTTGAGGAACGAGCGCTTGACGACAAACCCGACGCCCCCGACGTTGGAGTCGTCCTCAGCGCTGGACCAGAAAAGGGCGTGGGTGTTGTGGAGGCGGTTGTAAAGGACGGTGGGCTTATCGGCGTTGGAGTGGGCCTCCTGCACCATGACAACGTCCGCCTCGTTCGCGAGGTGGATGAAGAACTCGAGTTTGCGGTGGAGGAATGCGGGGTCGTAGGGGAAGAGGGCACGGGCATTCCAACTGAAGACGCCGGCGCCGCAAAAAGGGGAGGACGGAGAGGCATGCATACCCGACATGCCCGACTGCTGCCGCAATGGTGGCGAAGCGGGAGGGACGGCCCGAGGGCCGCCCCTGCCGTTCACTCCGCGACGGCGCGGCGAACCATGGCTTCGACGGCGGCGGGGTCGACCTGCAAGGAGGTGACGCTGCTGTTCATGAAACGGAGGGCCGCGTCCCCGTCGGAGTTGATGTAGACAGTCGCCAAGGGGATATTGTCGGCGTAGATTCGGCCGGAGCGCTGGTCGACCTCTGGAGAGGAGGGGGTAGGCCTTCGGCAGCTCGTCCCAGAGGCGGCGCACCACGAATTTCTTGTGCCACTCCTCCTTGGTATCCGGGAGGTTCCAGTACAAGGTGGTGGCGACGTGGGTGTTGGAGTCCGTGTGGGTGGGGTTGAGGCGCCCGATCACGGACTTCCGGAAGCCTTCCCTCGTCGACGCTCTTGATTACAACGGTGGCCTCGTCCGCGCGGGGGCGGCTTGACGATATGCGCTCGAAGTCGGCGCCGGCGAGGAGGGGGGTAACAACGGCCACCATTTCCTCGGGTGTGAGGTGCACGCTTTTGAGCCAGTGAGCTTGATGGAGCGCTCGATGGTGGGGTTCGTCGTGGCGTGCTCGGGGAAGTGACGGCGCTGAGGGGGCCGGGGGCCCGACGAGCGAGGGCGTTTCGACTGCCTCTCGTCCCGAGCGGGGCCGGAGGCGTTGCGTTCGGTCTCCAGCAACTCGAGGCGCTTGACCATGTCGTTGAACTTCTTCTCGAAGTTGCGCTGCTGGGCAGCGAGCGGCTCAATGTGCTCCTTAATGACGGAGCTGACCGCTGAGTTGACGGCCTTCGTGACTGTGTGCTCCATGTTGCCCTGCGTGATCATGGACTTCTTGAGCTTCTCGAACATCTGGGCCACCGTCATGGAGTCCGCGACGGCCATGGTGCAAAGAGGAGAGCACGTCGGTGGAGCGATCGGGCCGTGGTGGAAGGTAGGGGAAGAGATGTCTCCCGACCAGGTGCAAATCTTGATTCCCTTGAGCAAATATTGAGCCAAAATGGCTTGAGCCAAAATGGCTTGAGCCAAAATGGCTACGGAGCGAGGGCACATTGTTTACGCCTGACCAGAGACAACCACCAGAGGGTAGGACCAGCTCAGCGAGGGGAGACATCGGCCTGTCATCAACGGCACGTCGCCGATAAATCCGCGATAGGCCCCACATGGAGAAACTGCACGTTCCTGGGCGGGCTGCGCTATTGGGCCCCTATCGGCGATGAATGTGCGGCTGGGGCCTATCCCCCCTTGACGTTGCCCTTGACTTCGAGGGCTCGGGGCCTGGCCAGTGCAGAATCTATCAACATCGAAGCGGGAATCGGATCGACTCTGAATCTGCGTCGAATCGGAGTGCATCGGCACGATGACGAGATCGATCCGGGTCGGCTGCGCCAGGATGTACAGCAGCGGGCTTATCGGAATCTAGATCGGATCGGATCGAAATAGACCCTGCCAGGGTCGATGCACAGCTGTCGTAGTACCATGAGGCACGCTTCCAAACTGCTTTTCTCGCCATAAGAAACCTTGTCAACGAAAGAGGCCTCCCGACCCAGATTTGAGGAGCGGCCAAAAAACCAGACCCTCCCGAGCCCAAAGAGGTCCTGATCTCAGCGCCTAGACTGCAAATCGAATTCATCAAACTCCTCCTCCCTCCCTGCCTCCGGTTTGGTCCAGTCCCGCGCATCCAGGCGAGATATAGGCACTGGTCTACTGGAGCACGACCCGACCGTCCGAGCCCGCGCCCTTCCCTCCCTCCCTTCCCTCCCTCTCCCTCCCTCATTCCCCTCCCTCCCCTCACTTCCTTCCCTTCCTCCTTCTCGATCCTGTTCCTGATCCTGTTCTTGATCCTGATCCTGCTCCGCTCTCTATCTCTCTCTCTCTCGCGCGCGCGCACTCTCTCTCTCTCTCTCTATGCATGCATAGACGCATGCAAAAACAACCACAACTCTATACACCTAAGGCGGCATATACATATTCGTGTATGTGTATGCGCATGTGTAGATTTCCCTTCCCGCAGTCTGCTTCTTATGAACCCTGCTACATCATGACTACGTAATGTTGTCACTATGGTCGTGAATAGATTATCCTCCTCCTCCTCAACCTGCTGCTCCACATCCTCCTCCCCCTCCCCCCCTCCTCCTCCTCCTCCTCCTCCTCCTCCTCCTCCTCCTCCTCCTCCTCCTCCTCCTCCTCCTCCTCCCCCAACCCTGTTCCTCATCCTTCCTCATCCTCGATTATTATCCTGCCCTCCCTCATCCTTCTCCCTCCTCCGCTTCGTCCTCCTCCTCCTCCTCCTCCTTCTCCTCGTCCCCCCATCCTCATCCTTGTGAAGACCAGGGCCCTGGGGGGGAAACAAGCCAAAAGACAGGCGAAAGGTCCTTTGCCTCCTCCTCCTCCTCTTCCTCCTCCTCCTCATCCTCCTCCTCCCCCTCCCGCCTGCAAGAACAACTCTCAAGAACAAGAAGAAGTGGCCCCGCCACCACCTGGACGCCGTCTGCGCTCCAGAAGCGAGGCTAGGCCACATGCTATTCCGCGCCGGGGGATGTGCCAACCTCCTCTTCGAAGCCTCGTCCATCCTCTACATCTACGATCCTCCGATACAATCACCCCCCCTCCATTCCTGGAGAAGCGCAATTGTGAGACGAACGGACTGTGCTGTCTGTTGCAAGACGATCCTGATTCGTCCCACATGCGTTCTGCAGTTTGGTCGCTCAAGCTGGCGGCGCAGGACGGGGAAGGTGCGGATTAACGAAGGGTGGATGGCGAAGGAGGAGAAGTCGACGGGGGGAACGTTCCCAAGTCTTGCGCAAAAAATGCCTGAAATGAGAAGCCTGGTGGGCCAACCCCCGCACGTGGCTAGTGCCAGCGGTGTCCCCTCCTCCCGCCCACGGCCAAGGCAAACTTCCTGGAGCCAGCCCATCCACAGAGTCGCAAGCTGAGCTGGACGCAGGGCGTGAGTGAGTAGGCTAGACCGGCTGCAGGGGTTCGGAAGCGAGGTTGGCGAAGGGAGGATTTCCCAAGGCGGAGGGGGAATGAAAGGAAGTCAAAGTGGGGCTGGTTCCAAAGTCCTGCGCACAAGTGCCTGGTTGAGAAGCCCGGTGGGACCAGGTCCGCCCGTTGCCAGTGCCCGGGGGCGTCTGTAAAGGGAAATCAGGACACACAAATAAATACACACAAATAAAAATAGTCCCCATATTTTCCCATATTTTCTGGGTTCTTGTCTTCCCCCCCAATTCCCATATTTTCCCATGAACAGGGGGGGGGGGGGGGAGGGGGGGAGGGGGAGGGGGAGGAGGAGGAGGAGGAGGAGGAGGAGGAGGGAGGGAGGAGGAGGAGGAGGAGGAGGAGGAGGAGGAGGACAGGTCCGCCCGTTGCCAGTGCCCGGGGGCGTCTGTCGCCCCTTCCCGCCCACGGCCGGGGCCCGCCGCCCCGACCCACCCCTTCCACAGTCGCAGGCTGAACTGGACGCAGGGCGCGAATGCGCAATCCTCCTCCTCCTCCTCCTCCTCCTCCTCCTCCTCCTCCTCCTCCTCCTCCTCCTCCTCCTCCTCCGCCTCCGCATCCTCCTCCTCCTCCTCCTCTCCTCCTCCTCCTCCTCCTCCTCCTCCTCCTCCTCCGCCTCCGCATCCTCCTCCTCCTCGGCGCGAGACCCTCCAGCTCCTCAAAGACCCTCGGGCGAGAATCAACAGATACGAGTGTAAGAGCGAAGTGTTGGAGATGCATGGCGAACCTATGATCTTGACCGGATGCAGTAGTGAGGGATGAGAAGGTTTCGGTTTCGCGTGGCCGATCGATCGGCGCACTGCCACCGACACACATCAATTGTTTGGCGGTGCGTGGCCTCCTCCTCCTCCTCCTCCTCCTCCTCTCCTCCTCCTCCTCCTCCTCCTCCTCCTCCTCCTCCTCCTCCTCCTCCTCCCCCCCGCGGCCAGTGGGGCGCGGCGGGGGGAGCGAGAGCCCGCGGCTCCTCCAGCTCCAGCACGCCGTCGCCCGTGTCCATGACCTTGAACACGTCTTTGGCGTCCTCTTCGTGGATGTCGAGCACCTTGGGGGGCGGCGGCGGCGGCGGACGATGGCAGTGTCGCGAAGACGTGCCCAACTCTTGGGGACGGGGAAGGAGGGAGGAGGGAGGGAGGATGCGGGAGGTCAAGGAGTAAAGAGGACGAGGAGGATGAGGAGGAGGAGGAAGAGGCGGGAGGTCAAGGAGTGTAGAAGAGGAGAAGGAGAGGGAGGAGGAGGAGGAGGAGGAGGAGGAGGAGGAGGAGGAGGAGGAGGGGAAGAGAACGAGGGAAGAGCGAGGACGAGAAGTGGGAGGAGAGAACGAGGAGGGGGAGGAGGGAGGACGAGGATGAGGATGAGGATGAGGATGAGGATGAGGAGGAGAAGAAGAAGAGGAGCAGGAACAGGAGGAAGAGGAGGAGGATGAGGAGGAGGAGGGATGAGAAAAAATAGGAAGAGGAACGTGTACAACACGTAGGGGGCGAGGAAGCGAAAGGCCACTCCAAGTACCGCGACGTCTTTCGTCGTCCTGCCTCCTTCGCCCCCTTCCCGCCTCCTAATCCTCCTTTTCCTGCTGGGTCGCGGGTGAGCAGAACCTGTCAGCGTAGCCCTCGAGGCGACCCGATTGGACCACCCCCCACCCATCCCTGTCTAGCGCGAGATGTCAACATGAGATAACATGAGATTTCACATTGCCACTGAACACCCCATTCGGGGGAAGGCGCCCCAGACTTCCGAGGCATCCAGACGGGGGGGGCCTCGAATGACAACCTGGGGACTGAACATCGGGCGGCGCTGATGTCATGAGGCGAAGTCTCTTCAAAATGTACAATCGGCATGGCGCGTCCATCTCTTCCCGCGCCCGGCCGATGGCCCCGCGCTCGGGCGCGCCCGCGTCGCCGCGGAGCTTGCGCTTCGGACAGACCGCCCGACAAACCACGAATAGAACACTCGGAATGAACAATCCACCGGCAGCAGTGCCCGAAGGACAAACTGCCCGCGCGACCTGCTTTCGGGAACCGATCTGCTCCAAGACACCCATTGCTTGCTCTGGGCGAGGGGGGCCCTTCAAGATGCCCCCGCGGAAGTTGGCGCCCGCGAGGCCTCGAACCAACGCCAATTGAGAACGGGGGGGAAAAATGGTCGTCGGCGATTTCTCTCCCAGACGCCCGGCATCGCACACGGGCCCCGGAAGTCTACCCAAGCGATCGGGCTCTGGGCCGTCCGACCCGGGCGCCCTCAGGCACGTGCGCGGCGCCTCCAAGCACTTGTCCCCAATCAAAGCCCGAGGTCTCCAAGGCAACTTCAACGACTGTAGTTGCGAGGCCCGGGGCGGCCACTGCTCGCGCCCCGCCTGCGCCCGGGGCTGCAGCGGGAGAGGGTTGGCCTCGAAGCCGGGCGCCCCGCGCACGCGCGCGCCGCGCATGCCAGGACGGGGGCCCCCGGTCTCCAGGGCCCTCCTGGCGCCCGCAGCTGCGGAGCGGAGGGCGCGGGAATGGTGCTCTCGAGGCTGGGGCGCGCTGGCCCTGCCAAGATGCACCGTCGCCCCGAGACGACCTGTCGCCCGAAAAACCGACCGAGGTTCCTCGCGGGCACGCCATGCCTGAACTCCCAACGTTTCAGCTCAATGGCAATGTCTTTCTGGCAGCGGCCGAGGGTAGCCACCGCTGCCCCTTTGGTCCTGGGCGCGATGGGGCGCGCCTTTTCGAGCGGCCGGCACGAAGGGAAATTGGCGGCCCGAGACCTGCGGGCGCGGGCCTTGCCTCGCCGGCCACGCGCGGCGCCGCGTCGCCCGCCGCGCCCAATATTAAGGTAATCCTGAAGGCGTCAGCGGCCGCGTAGAGGGCGTCGAGGGCGTCGAAGAGGAACGCCTTCCGGAGCGCACTTGCGCGCGCGCGCCCCGCGCTGATACCCCGGGTCGCACCCCGCGCGGATAGACCAGGTCGCGCAAGCCCCTCGCGAGCGCATCCTGCCCGGCAACGGGCGCCCGCGGCCATGGCGGGCAGCGCGGGGGGCACATGGACATTAAAAATATTGAAGTTCAGCTCGGCGGCCGCCCGAGCCAGGAGGGCGCGCGCAACTTCAACGTGCGATCTGGCGAGGTCGGGGAGGGGGGAGAGACGGCAATGCCCATGCACTGGGTAAACTCAACGGACTGCCTCCAGACCGCGCGTTCGCGCGACCGACCAGCACTTCTGCCGAAGCAAGCCCAACGGTTAACGCTCTCCCATGAGGTAGCCTCGCGCCTTAGCATCCGAGACGCGACCCGAACGGAAAAGGAAGGCAGCCCAAAGGGCCGATGCCCCCCAATAATGCGCTTCGACCATCGCAGCCAGGGCGGTCTTCATCTGGCCAGGGGCGCGACCGATCTTCCGGATGGCCCCCAGAGGCCACCGAGGGCAAGGGGGCAACCATCGCTAACGTGGAGAAAGCCCAAAAGATGAATATTATCACTGACCCTTGTCGCGCGAGCCTTCAACTTCTCACCTCAAGCCAGAATGGCATCTGGATCGAGCGGCTAGCCGAGCATCTGGTCATGCTGTTCATCGCCGAGCGTGGCGACGTAGTCACGCGCGCAAAAATTGACTGGGTATGCCCCCCTGGAGCATTCCGCATTCCCTCCCAGTCAGAAGCAAAGTCAGACGAAAGTTGCAGGGGTCCTGGACGGGGCCTGGCCCGGAACAGAAGACGATGGGGGGGGTCCTACCCCCGGGGGCCTCGGGAGGCATTCCACGACAATTTTTCCCAGAGGGCCGGAGGGCACTGAGTATCGAAACCGAAGCAAAACACACCCCCGGTTGAAATACAATGGAAAACCATGAGCCAGACGTCGAAAAGAAACCGCCCCCTGGCCAGAACGCGCCCGGCAGGGTGGGGACCCCCCGCCGTTGGAATCTCAGGCGCACTCTGGATTCTCGCGCCCTGGCCCCCTTGCCCTCGCGCGCGCCCGAGAACTCCGGGAAAAGAATGTCGAAACTCCCAGGATCTGATGCATCCTCGACTGGGGGCCCCCTGACCTGGGTCAATCCATGCCCGGGTCAGTCGGGCCTTGCAAAACCCTGCGGGGACCTGCAAGGCCCTGCGCCCAACCCTGGGCCAATGCGAAACACCCTGCATGATCCAGAAGGCCCCTGCGCCCGGGCCCGGATGAATGCGACCCCGGCTCTGCGGGGCCCTGCGAAATCGGGCGCTCTGGCTGGCCCCCGCTCGCATTGACCCCGCCTCGCGGCCCCCGACTTGAGCCGCGCGGCCAGCGGGCCCCGCATCGCCGGCTCTTTTGGGGGCTCGATGGGGGCGCCCATCGCGGTCTCGAGGGGCGCATGCCGGGCCGATCAACGTCGGCACCTCAGGAAAGACAGCCTCGCGGAGCGCGGCCAGCGCGACCGCCCAGCGCGGCTTCGGCGTTGAAGCTCAGCCACGGCGAGCGCGCGCGAGCGAACTGGCAAAGCCAAGCACGACCCGGAAGACATCGCAAGCTCGCCAAGCTTCCCCACGCCTGCACGCAGGAAGAAACGCTGCACACCAGTAGCAACCAGGCGAGGATCTCATCCACACTCACGCATAGCTTGAGGAGTATAGATTCAGCCTCCGCTCACGATGCACGGCGGCTTCCGCCCGCGCGACACCTCCCCCGGCGCGGCCGAAGATTGAAGCCCCCAGGCCCGAGGGCCCCCTCCGTCAGAAGGTGAAAGGGAGATGCCACGAAATGAAATGTGATCAGACATGCATTGGCCCTGCTGGGGCTCGGCGAACGCGGCGCTCGCGGCCCGGGCGGCAGGCCCATGCCGAACGAACGACGGTCGACACCGACGCCACTCGAAATCCCGCCGTCCTGGGCAACTTCAGAAGGCCTTCGGCGAACCCGTAAGCCAAAGCTCGCTAGTCTAGATTCCGCTATTAAGACTTCGAAGGCGGCTCGTTCGATTTCCTGGGAAAGAACAATATCGGGCGCGATTCCTCAACTAGAACAACAAGAAAGGCCCCCATCCTGAGAAGTTCGAAGACTCCACCTCCGCAAACTCCTGTCTTCGCCCCACGGCCTGCAACTTGAGAGGTTGGGAAGGAGGAGGCGGAGGAAAAAGAGGGGAATTGCTGCAACCTGCCAGGCGGTCTAATGGGCTAGGATCGCCGCCTTCGCACGGGCAGGCGGGCCTCAGGAAGACCGCCCTAAGGGCGTCGCTGCACCTGCCGCTGGCGTCGGCGCCGAAGCCGTCACCGCTGGGGACTGGCCTAGACGTGCCTCTCCTGAACCCTCGCCCTCGCCGCCCTTGCGCTTCCTCTTGAGCCTCTTGGAATGTTCCTTGTGCTGCGCCACGAACGATTCCGCCTTCTCACGAAACGGACAGAACATACCCTCGGTGGCAGGCTTGAAGCCCGCTGCCAACAATCGCTTGCGCTCACCAAACTGGGTCTTATCAACTGCATTCAATGTTTGCTCATCGCCTTGGCCGGAGAGGCTATCACTGTCAACAACGACGTGCGGAATGTTATCGTGTGGCCACTGCCTGCTTGTACGTATTCTGCCGTGGCGGCCTCGGCCGTTGCGACCAGATCGGAAATCTGGATGTTCACCCCGCGGCCTAGTTACGTACTCGAACTTCATGGTCGCCTCCAGTAGCTGCTTCTCTATGCATTGCAGCTTGGCGTGCGCCTCACATGCCACGTCGTGGGCCTCTCTGCTAGGCTGAACTCGACGGGCGCGCTCTTGCCGACAGGCGAATGTGAGCTGGGTGTTGTTCCGTTTTTGCCCCAGCTGCCCCATGCTCTGCAACTCGCCGTCCGTGAGGTTCCTGAAATCTTGGCCGCCGCTGCCACCCAGGCCAGGGTGAACACCCACAGCAAGAGGAACACGAAGGCCAAGATAAGGGCGCACACGCTGGGCGAAGCTACCACCTGCAGTCGGGTCCTCTTGCGGCTGAACCTCACCTGCTGAACAGGTACCCTTGTGTTATCCCAAATTCACATGCCATTCCAATTGGCGCCCGACTTGTCGCGGCAACCGCCGTACGTGGTGGTGAATCCCCTGCACGTTTTCCACCGTTGCCATAGCCCTTCGTCCAGCCGCCTTGTTGTGCCATAGCTGCAAGCGCAGGGTGCGTGGGGAGAAACTCCTCCCGCTGGTGAGCTTGTGGTGACTCTTGGAAAACGGTGCGTGCAGGCCCTGTGCCTGGCTGCTTGAGCCAGAACGGCTTGAGCCAGCTTGAGCCAGGCTACGGTCCTCCTTCTCCTCCTCCTCCTCGTCGTCCTGCACCTTCTCCTCCTACTCCTCCTCCGCCCCACGTCACGCTCACCCCCTGCCTCCCAGCACGAACTCGCACGGCAAGTTCACGTCGGCGCTGGCTTCTGACACCGCGAGAATCGTTCAACCTCGAGCGATCGACGCCGCCGCGTCAACGCGGCGCGAACCTACTCCACCCCTATACGTCAAATGTTAGATGTCTTTGGTCAAACGTGAGGGGCAACGATAGGGTGGGACTGGCATAGGGGGGGATGCATCGACCTGGAATCGGCGATACATCGCCGATGAATCGGCGATAGACCACCGATAGTACATCCGCATTTTCCTGGGCAGGTTGGGGCTATCGGGCCCCTATCGGCGATCAATGGGCGAATGCGTGTCGATGCATCCCCCGTATGCCTATCTCCCCCTTATCGTTGCCCCTGAAAATGGACCTCTGCGGGGGGGTCCGATAGTGGCCACAGACCACAGGCCTCGCCGACCCCCCAAAACAAGGTTGAATGACAGCATGAAAGCACCTGCAGCAGACACCAGAGCAGTCCATGTTTATCGACTTTCGTCGCCCACCCATCGGTGCACCCGACACACCAGAGGCATCCCGAAGGGGGCTGAACAAATGGGGTCGCATAATCGCGTCGCATCGCCGACACGTCGCCGATGCACCAGTGACGTCGGGACGGAGACAATCGGACTCCAGATCGCACCGCACCATCGATGATGCAAAGGGCGATACGTCGTGATCACATCTGTTCTGGCCCATTCTGGGAGGCCTGGGCAGCCGCGGGGAAGTGGCAGGCATCGCGGCCAGGTTGCCCGCGCGAGCGATGGGGGGTTCGGAGGCATGCAGATCCCCACTGCCGCGGCCTGGGCTGCAGTGGCCGATTAAACCCCCTAGATGGGGATGTGGACTGTTGCCTTCGGGTTTCGAGGGGCATGTTCCCAGTCAGGGTGGTGCAATGATGGGGATCGGGATTGGGAAGGGGATAGGGATGGGGTTTAACACTACTGTGCAGAGGAGGAAAAAGAGAAGGTTCTGTTACCAGTGGGTGTGGACATTGTCCTGCAGCTCTCTTCGGCACCGCCTCTGGAACCTCCCTGTGGCGGATCGGAGCTCTTGTTGAAATTTCTTGCCGCGGCCTCCAGGCGCGTCAAGAGGCCCCCGCACACGAGACACGCGAGGACCTCTCGGCGCCCCAGGACGATGCGGAAGCACCCGCAGATGGTGCCGCAAGACACCCCCAAGGATCCTCTGCAAGGCGAGCGTGCCGCCTTCGGCAGCTCCCAACACTCCCCCAAATATACGGTGCAAGATAAACGGCGCTTGCCGTGTTCGAGCTGTCTTCGTTTTCCATAGTTTTGTCTTCGCCCCGCCTGCGCAAAACAAAATCGATACGAAAACTGTCTACGAGATCGCCAGATGTCCACCGCACGAGAAGCGAGAATCTCAAACGCGCGTCGCTTCTCTCAGGCACCTGAAGACGTGGCCACCGAGAGCTAAACCCGCGCGATAAAACCGAAGAGTCTTAGTACACATCCAGGCAAGCATGGGATACTAATGACTTGGGTAGCGGGCTTATTGACGGCTTGGGACTGTAATTACCCCCCCCCCCCCCCCGCGGCGGCCACCGCATAGGCCTCGGCAAGAGTTGTCGCCAACGCCGTCGTCGTCATCGCTCCTTCTTTTCCACCTCCTCCTCCTTCTCCTCCTCCTTCTCCTACTCCTGCTACGCGTACGCGTACGCCTACTACTACTACTACTACTACTACTACTACTACTACTACTACTACTACTACTACTCCTACTACTACTACTACTACGACTACTACTACTACTACCTACTACTACTACTACTACTACTACTACTACTACTACTACGACTACTACTACTACTACTACTACTACTACTACTACGACTACTACGACTACTACGACTCCTACATCGCCAACTACGACTACTACGACTACGCCTACGCCTACGACTACGACTACGACCACGATTTAAGACTACGACTAAGACTACAACAACGACAACGACTCCGACTACGACTACTACTACGAGTACTACCAGGACATTGACGACTACTACTACCACTACTACTACTACTACTACTAATAATAATAATAATAGTAATAATAAGAATACGGCCAATAGGACGAGGAGGAGGAGGAATATAAGGGAGGGGAAGGAGAAGGGAGGGGAAAGAGGAGGAGGAGGCACGAGTTTCTATTCCCCGCAGAGGCATCGGGGGGATCCTCAACATAAAAAACCCTTCGCGGTTACGGTCGGAACTAGGACAGGAACATATCAATCAAACACATGAGACCCTCTGCTGGTCAACACACCCCAAACGCCCCAAACCGTAGGATAACTCCAGAGTAATCCCCCAGGATGCACAAACACTGCCAAAAAAACACGAAAAACATGAGGGTGCCCTCCCGGAACCGACCTCGATCTTACACCTCGGTCCGACCGTAATGCGCCACGGACCGTGGACGAACGTCACCGTTTACCGATCTCTTCTGCTGGAAGGTTCTCCCTTTGTTTAAGACTGCCTCCTGGCCGCCACATAACGATGCCTGCCGGTGTACCTTGCGGCCCAGCACAAAGGCAGGCTACCACGCAGAACACCGAGATTAGACAAGCGCGTCACACGGCTGGCAAATTCACTACTCGCAAATGACCTGGAACCGCCGCGGGGGACTTACGAGCCATTACATCGAGGCGGACACGTTTCTTTTCGAACGTTTGCGAGTAAGCACTTCGCGAGTAGTGGAACAGAGATGGCCCCTACACAGAAGCTGAGAGAGTGTCAATTGGAATTTCCATGGAAATGGAGGTGGCCAAGGCTGGAGAAACTGATAGTGGCTGAAAGGAGCCTGGTGCAGCTGGGATGAGCTCGCCAGGGCTGGAAAAGCTGGGGCGAAGCTGCCTGGAGCTTGAACGAGTGGAAGCAATGGCCTGAGGCCCCCCCTATCGATCTAGGATCGCTTCGTCGATCAGATCGGGAGTGGGAGGCATCGTACTCTTACCTCCTCGGCGCCCTGGCTTAAGGGGTCTGAACGGCGCCGGGCGGATGCAAGCACCAGGAAAAGCATGACGAGACGAGAAAAAGATGAGACAATTGAATGGTGGAGGCTGGACGCCGCCGTCGTCGCCGCTCGGTGCGAGTGGAGGCTCTTGCGGGCGGTGCCGCCCGTCGCCGCCGTCGCCGTCGCATAGATTGCACCGCGTAGACTGCATTGCAGAGGTTGCACCGCGTAGATTGCACCACATAGGCACATAGGTTGCATCACATCGATTGCACCGCATATATTGCATTACACAGGTTGCACCGCGTAGATTGCACCACGGAGATTGCACCGCATAGATTGCACCGCATCGATTGCATTACATAGGTTGCATCGCGAAAATTGCACCACGTACATTGCATCGCCTAGACTGTAATAAACTACTGTTTTGGGTCCACGCTGGACAACATTCTCTGGACCTGCTGAGAATCGTGTCCCCTCAGTGGCCTCGCCCGGCGTGACATAGTCAGGATTCAGCTCGGTCGCCCGTAAATTGTAGCCCCGTGCCGCTGAGGATGCGGTGGCCCGTGGACCAATGGCGCATGGTCGTTTGTATCCCACATGGCCATCAAACTGAATCTCTTGACCAAGGTCTCTCCCCCTCCCGATTTCCAGAATGTCCTCGCGGGGGGGAATGGCACAAAGCCGCAGAGCGTCGCTCTGGGGGCGTCGCGAGCAGCCAAGATACCTCATCTTGACTTCATCTACTGGCCCTCCCGACTCAACTATTTCGACCGTGTGCAGTTCAAAAGGTTGGGAGACAGAGCATCAGCAGCAGCACGAATACGCCCCGACCCGAAAAACACAAAACCACCCGCCATGCCCCATGCCCGAAAGTCAGGCGAGCCTCCGACACTCGCGCACATCCCTCCTGCAGTTCCTTTTTGGGCCCGTTTGACGCCTGGGGTGGCGAGTCTGGCGATCCCGACTCGACTTGCAGGCGGCCGCGGGTCCGCGGGCCTCCAACTGCTTCTTCAACGCGGGGTCCTTGAACGCATTCGTAAACTCTTCCAGCGTCAAGGAGCCGTTCTGGTCCTCGTCGATCAGGTGGAAGAGCCTCGCCGTCAAGGGGCACGGGGGAGCATCGGCTAGACAACTAAACAAGACTAGCACCTAGTAGGAATGCTGATGCCGATCGGTGGCTGATGCGAACTATCGTCGTCAGTATTCGCGACAGTTCGACTTGAAACTCCGGATGCAAAACTGCCACCGTGCCGCGAGGCACTGACTGGAGTGCCATGGAATCCCTTCGAGCTCTCCGTATTCCCAAAAACAAGCCACCCACCTTTAATCTAGGCACACCCTGACCCGCCCCCTGTCGACGCTGCGCCACAGCTAACCAGACCCATCCAAGCTGACCAGACCAACGACTCCGCGACACAACAAGATGTAGCAAATGATGCACCAGAAAGAAGCGACATAAGAAGATGCAATACACAAGTGAAGAATTTGGCCGGCACTGAAGCGAGAGCAACATTCGCAATCATGTTTGTGGCCAGCGCTGAGGCGAGAGCACCAGTCGAAGTTGCGGATGTGGCTGGCGCTGAGATGACAACACATGGTGCGGAAATTGCGATCCGCTCGCGGCTCGAACAAGCCAGGCTACGGCGTCGCCAATTGTCGCGCGTGCAAGGGGGGTGGGGGAATAAATGCGCCGACCCTGTCGGCGTGTGGAGGAGGCTTTTCCGTTCGACTCGTAGTTTTAGCAACGTTGTAGTTCAATCGAAGGGAAGCCCCTTCCCTTTGATCCCTTCCCCGCCCGGGGGTGGTCCCGGGGGCGTCCCAGGGAGGGTCCCGGGGGGTCCTGGGGCAGATACATCTCCTCCTCGGGCGGTTCGGCGGCCAGGAAAAAAACCGCAGGACGCGGCAAAAGTGGTGGTCCCCCTCAGGACCCCTGCCCCCGCCTTGGCCGCCACTCCAGCTCCGTTCGTGGCCCGGCCTGGCCCTGGCCCTGGACCCCAGCCCTGGCCCCGGCCCCAGTGCACCCCTGGTCCCGCTCCACGGCCTTACAGTAGCCCCCCGGCCCTGGCCCTGGCCGCGGCCCCAGCCGCGGCCCCGGCCCCGGCCCTGGCCTGGCCCCGTCGCCTCCCAAACGCCCGCCCCCGAGGAGACACGCGGCTCTCCTCCTCCTCCTCCTCCTCCTCCTCCTCTCCCCTCCTCCTCCTCCTCCTCCTCCTCCTCCTCCTCCTCCTCCTCCTCCCCTCCTCCTCCTCCTCCTCCTCCTCTCCTCCTCCTCCTCCTCCTCCTCCTCCTCCTCTTTCTCCTCCTCCTCCTCGTTCTCCTCCTCCTCCACCTCCATTTCCCCTCCCTCCTCCTCCTCCTCCTCCTCCTCCTCCTCCTCCCCTTCTTCTCCTCCTCTTCCTCCTCCTCCTCGTTCTCCTCGTCTCCTCGTCATCATCATCATCATCATCACATCATCATCATCATCATCATCATCATTCATCATCATCATCATCATCATCATCATCATCATCATCATCCATCAGCATCAGCATCAGCATCAGCATCAGCATCATCAGCATCAGCATCAGCATCATCATCATCATCATCATCAATCATCATCAGCATCATCATCAGCATCACATCAGCATCGTCATCATCATCATCATCATCATCATCATCATCATCATCATCATCATCATCATCATCCATCATCATCATCATCATCATCATCAGCATCATCATCAGCATCAGCATCAGCATCAGCATCACGTCATCATCATCATCATCATCATCAGATCATCATCATCATCATCATCATCATCATCCTCATCCTCATCCTCATCCTCACCATCATCAGCATCAGCATCATCATCATCATCATCATCATCATCAGCATCAGCATCATCATCATCATCATCATCATCATCCTCATCCTCATCCTCATCCTCATCCTCATCCTCATCCTCATCCTCATCCTCATCCTCTCCCCCTCCTCCTCCTCCTCCTTCTCCTCCTCTTCCTCCTCCTCATCCTCCTCCCCCTCTTCGTATTAGTTGTGCTCTTATGTTTATTATGCTTAATCTTACTCCCATCAATAGTATTAGCATTCTTGATATTATTATTCGTATATTCCTTATTATTCGTATGGTTATGATTACTATGATTACGATCAGTATTAATAGTATGACATTGATTCTTCATACTACATCAGCATATGTATGTTTTTTATTAATATTATTATTGTGCTGCATAGTTTCATTATTAGTATTATTCTTATGTGTGGTATTATTATTCTTCGTAGTCTACTTCTTATTATTCCTCCTCCTCCTCCTCCTCCTCCTCCTCCTCATCCTCCTCCTCTCCTCCCCCTCCTCCTCCTCCTCCTCCTCCTCCTCCTCCTCCTCTACCTTTTCCTCCTCCTCCTCCTCCTCCTCCTCCTCCTCCCCCTCATCTTCCTCCCCCTCCTCCTCTACCTCCTCCTCCTCCTCCTCCTCTTCCTCCTCCTCCTCCTCCTCCTCCTCCTTTTCCTTCCTCCTCCTCCACCGCCGCTTCCTCCGCCTCCTCCTCCTCCCCCTCCTTTTCGCCCTCCTCCTCTTCCTCCTCTCCCTCCTCCTCCTCGTCCTCCTTATCCTCCTTCCACCGCCCGCCCAATCTTGTGGCAGGGTCATCAGCTCGCCGTTGTCGTTTTGTCGTCGTGGTCGTCGTCGCGGTCGCCCGTCGTCGTCCTTCTGGGTCGGCGGCGCGGGCGTCAGGCCTTATCTATAAAAACCCACAGAAAAAGAAAAATACGCGGATGGGGGGGGAGGGGGGGGCGCTCTCGCGCGGCGGCGCGCCCGCGCCCCGGGGCAGGGCCAGCAACCGCAGCGCGGGCAGGGCCCGGCAAGCGGGGGCGGGAGCCGCGGGCGACCGGCGGACCGAGGCCGCCTGCGCAGGGGGGGCGGGGGGGCGGCAGCTGGCGCGCGCGGTGGGTGGTCGGCAGCAGGGCCGCGGGGGAGCGGGCCGACGCGGCCCGGCGGGGCGGGTGCCACGGGGGCCAAGCGCCAGCAGGCGCCCGGGCTGCGCGGGACACGGCCAAGGCGGGGAGGCAGTGGTGGCGGAGAAGCAGGGCGGCGCCCAAGGAATGGGGGCAAGAACGGGGGAGGGGGGGGGGGCGCAGCAGCGGCGCACCCCAAGTGGAGGCAGCATCGGCTGCAGGGAGGGGCGGCGGCCAGCCCGCAGAGCGCAGGGGCGGGCGGGCAGCGGGCGCTCCACGCCGTCCGAGGCGGGGCTCGGGGCATCGGAGTTCGGCGGCGACCGGCGGCGAGCAAGGCGGGGGCGGCGCCGCAGGCAGCTGCGCCAGCGCAGGGAGCGGCAACGCGTCGCGCGGGCATGGGGGTCAGAGACGCACGAGGCGCAGCGCCTGGGCGGGCTGCCGCGCCAGCGCGCAAGGCGGGCCCAACTGGCGGGCGCGCGCGAAGAAGCGCCTGCAAGACAAACAGGCCCTGGCCGGCCCGCGGCTGGCAGGCGAGGCTCTCCGCCAGGGCGGGGCGCGCCGGGGCCCAGCGAGGGCGCGCCGCCCAGGGCGGGCGGCGCGCCCGATGTAGAGAGAGCACCTAGCCAGCGCGCGGACATCTAGAAAGCTGAGGCAAGCCAAGGGCTTCCAGGCGCGCCGAGCGGGGCGGGCGGCGGGGCTGGGGTCGGTCGGCGGGCGCGCCTCCCAGGGTGGAGGCGCGCCGAAGGAAAGCGACGAACCGGCGCGCGCGTTGGCGAGACGCGGGCGGGGCGCCTCCCGCGGGGGTGGAGGGCGCCGGGCGACGGGCGCTCCCAGGGGCGGAATGCGCGCCGGAAGGGAAGAGCCTGACTGGCAAGCAGACAGGCAGAATAAACGCGGGCGCCACTCGAACGTCACTCGCCACAATCCAAGCATGTCTGGAAGCGCCAGACTGGCGCGCAGACAACACGAAAAAATGCGCGCACCTCCCAGGGCGAAAGGCACCGCGCAGACGTCGCCAGTCGAGGCGGGGTCGACGCGTCGACTGGGCCAGGCGCTGGCGAGCCGCCGTCGCCTGTCGCCCTGAACGCGCGCGCAGCTGGGACTGGCCCTCGCGGGGCCAGGTCGGTTCGCTTTAGGGTTGCAAAAACAAGCCGCGGCCATGTGATAAGACATCCTAATCTTATGATAAGCAGTATGCCTATTCAAAGACTTGGCTTGGTATTTCTTGACTTATCAATTATCTCATAATGTGTGAAATCAATCAACTATGTTTATAAATGGATGTGTTTGTCTAACTTGGCCCGCTCAATCTGGCACGCCCTTCGCGCGCGTCGCGCCCGCCGGGCAGCTTCGCGCGCGCGCGGCCGACAATGTCAACGAGCCGCCGCCGCCCCCGCCCCCTGCCCGCCCAGCGCGCAGGGCCGCTCGGCGCGCGGGGCGGGCGGCCCCCTCGAGTTCAACTTCGAGAAGGCCATCGCCGCCGCGGGATGGGTGCGGAAACGGGGGGGGGAGGGGGGGGGGGGGGCGCGGAAGATGGAGCCGGGGGGGGGGGGGGGGGGGGGAAGCGCAGGACCGCGTGGATGTGTACATGTATGTATACATGCACGCGCGCACGCATGTCTGCATTCACACCCGTGAGCACGCATGCATGCGCGCGCGCTGGACGCACGCGGGCGCGCAAGTTTGCACGCGGCGCTCGCAGCTCGCCGCGACCGAAGGGGGAGAACGACAAGGAGTGAGGAAGTGCGATGATGACGACGATGCCGATGATGACCCATCGAAAATGACGAGGAGAAGGAGGAGGAGAAGGGGGGCGGGGGGAAGGCAGAGGGGGGGGCAGCCGGGGGGTGAGAAAGAGGAGGTGGACCAAGGGAGAGCAAGAGAAGGACAAAAAGACGGGAATCGGGGATCTCCCGCGCAGCACCTCGCCTCGTGCCCATCAGTCCAAGGGCGCGCGCAGCGGCTCAAAGCGCCGCGGCTGAACGTCGACAGCTGCGCGCGCGCCTGGGCGGGTGCAATCGCGGACTTTGCGCCGCTCTCGTCGCGGGTTGCGCGCGCCGCGCGCGGGCGGCCTCGCAGACGCTCGCGCGCCCTCGCCTGGCCGGGCGGATGTGCGTGAACAACCGCTGTTTCGCGCTCTG